CTGTTTATACAATATATAAACGATAAGATACCCGTCTCTTTATGTTACGACGTCTTCAGCGGCGAATACTGCCAGCCTACTAAGTGAAGCCTGAAAACCAGCAAATTGCTCAGGTTTTTTCCGTTTCTTCGAAATACATTTAAGCATTGTCATATCTTAAATATTGTTGTATGTTTTCTGTTGAAGAATAAAGTCTTTTTATTTTATTTTATTTTTATTTTATTACCGTTCCAAAATATCGGTATGAGTTAATTTTATTATCCTGATATTTTAGAATGGTTACAAGCTCCATAGTTACGGGTTATGGGTTAAGTCAACCGAGTGGAGGGGACAGTTCCGAAATATAGAGAAAATAATCATTACTCATAACGTGGTAAGAAACTTGTAATTAGTGATAGTTATTTAGACTCAGTACTGCACACTCCTTTAAAGGAATGGAATCTGGGTATCCTGCATGCAAAGCAGGTATTCTCCCTAGTAAACTAACTATAACTGTTTATAGCAGATACGGGGTGCCATTATTCATCGCTAATCTCTAATTTAGGAGCCCATAACTAAAGTTATGTAAATTTATATAAAGCCAACGTAGAGAACACGAGAAAATTTTTAATTCATTTTAAAACTATAGCGAGCAGAGAGGCAGTGGGATTGCTAGGTTAACTTCAAATGTTCATACGAACACATATTCTAAAGTTGTCTTTGACTCTAGTTCAACGTTAACTTTCTAGAGTAAAACTGATTCTTAAACAAAAATCTGACAAGGTTATGGATTATACATTACTGATGTAATTTAATAATAGGCTATGAACGAAGTTTTCAATACATTTCAACCGAGGAGACTGCTGAGATCCCTGGAGGAGCTTGGGTGGCGCGACTTGACGTCGAGTTGCGGACACCAGCCCGTTACACCAAGTACCAAATACATGTCAACGCTCAATCCTGGCTTAGTTATTTTATACATATTAAGTTATTTAGGAACTTTTTTACCATGTATAAGGCAGTTCCATCATAAAGTAAACTGTAGTTTACTTCTCTGCGGGGCGATGTTGGATTGTCTTTTTGCCGGTTTCGTATGGGGATTGGCCCAATATATAATAATAAAGAATTCTTTTGTTTGAGTCATATAATTAGTAAGGTTGTATCAGGCATTTGGATATCGATTTTAGACTTAGTACCAGTAGAGCTCCCTGTGAAAGAGTTCGTCTACGGTAGTACTGCCACCTTACCTATTTCTGCCGCCAAGCAGTTAATGTCAGCATTACTGTGTTCCGGTTTTTGAAGGGTAAGGGTCCTGGTGAAATTTCAGGCACATGAGACTTGTCAACTTATGTCTCAAGGTGAACGGGAGGAAGTGGCAGTGCCCCTCAGATCTTTGCAATTTGAAGCTCTGAGTGGCACTGTAACTGTTATGGACAGGCATGTAGCTTACTATGAGGCGCACGACTTGTTCATCCCGTCACTTGATGTTATAAAAAAAGACTCTCGCCTCTCCTATGACCTAAAAGATTTTTAAATAGGAGACGCGGTATTCCCCGACAATGACACAGTCTACCGCGATCAGGGGCAAAGGTTCAAGAACCGGCGAATAATACGTGCCGTATCGAGCAGAACCTCTTTCTGCATTTGTGCTGGAAGCGACACGCCACAGAAAGTTGCTAGCGAGAGTAACTAGAAAATAATCCGTCGGACAAAACAATTGGGTTTATTTTAATGGAGGCTACATCCCACATGTCGGTGATCTCGTGCGCCAGATCGATATACATCCAAAGTTTCTCGGTTTCGACTTTCAGAAGACCCTCGTAGTGCGGGATGTTAACGTCCACGAGTAATATCCTTGACTGCGATCCAATATCACAATATCCAGGTTTATTCGTAACAATCTGTCATAATTGATCAGTCTCAATAGACTTTGTTGCAGTCACTTTCGAGTATTGGCTCCGATGAATAAGGCATCCTCATCCAAGGCATCGTTTCTACCATGGACCAATAACGAGAACAAGAAGACTGCTAACCGCTCACGCGATACATGCAGCCGTAGACGCATACCACACCTAGAGGTGCCGGTGATGATTTTACACCGATTTATCGGATATTGGAGTTATAACAGGTAAAAGAACTAATATTAATTGCTATTTCGGTAACTACTCTAGTAAACCATAAAGATTTAATGCCCGGGTCTGTCATTTTGAAAAAAAAAAACAACTTCAAAAATACCGTCACGACAATCGTGTGTGTTATTGTTTGGGCTGGTGATTTCGGTATTTATTTATTGAAAACATACCGTAAGTAGCGTTTTTTAAGTTTACGCTGAATATAAATGTTTATAAACTATACTTTAAGGAGTAATTTCATGGTAAACGTTAGAACCACTCAAACGGAATATTATCATATTTATCCAAGTACACCAAAAATTTCATTAGTGCAGGATTTGCGGTGTATTACTGCATTTTATTTGAGATGTTTTTGTTGGTAGTACGGAGGGTATTTATTTAGCAATGCAGAATAATATTTTTTATTTATAAAAACTTGTATTTAAACTGAATGCTTTTCTAATTTGCGAAACCAAATAGCCGCCATTTTGCGGTTGGAGGAGCGTATTGCGTGAGTGGCTAATCTTCATACTGCAGATCGTAACTCTGATAAAGGTCAAGATTCCGTCTTTAGTCTAGATGGCGCTGATCAACAGCGTGGAAGTAGTTTATATTGGGTAAATGTCCGTGGATAACAATTAATAATTAAATAAAAGAAAAAAAGGTATAAATCACTGGATTGACTTTCAACGTACGCAAGTTCTCTCCACCGATCGCCACTTTTATTCAAGAGTTGTGCGTGAAGTGATTTAAAAAAAAACATCCTAATAATTTCAATCGGGAATTATCTGCAGCATGGAATCCGGTGTTTGCAAAAATTCATTCGCGATCGACTGCGTATCAGTATATGGCGGTGATACAGAATAGGGACACTGTTAGGGTTGTGTGTGGCGGTAATTTAAAAAATGTTATGCGGGTGGATAAAGATTCCACCGCCGAGGTGGTGATGTAAACACCGCATCACCAGTCAGCCCGTGACCAGTGCAACCTGGCCGAAATTTGGGATATTAGGTAGGTGTGGAAAATACCTATTTGTTTGTAAACACGTGTTCCGGTTTTAAAATGGTAGTAGAAATATAAGAAATCAGTTTTTTTCCTCGTAATATTATTCAAATATTGACCACGACCTATAATTGTTTTCGGAACTTTGACAAATTTGCGTGGCTTTGATTAAGTAGATGTATCCACAAAAAAATTTGAAATTAGTGCCATTTAGTTGATTTGTTTGTTATTACTAGAAATTAGAGTAGCTTTCATATATTGCGGCTCGACAGTGTAAAACAAATTAGTTACAAAAATAATAGCTATTTGATACTCGTCGCGATATCTGGTGTACCAATAGGGTACTAAATATCCGACTACGCTATCTTGTATCACGATTATCACAGAAGTGACATCACTATGATATTTTTGGCGCTTGTGTTATATCATCTCTGAACAAAAGGTTAAAAATGTTTGTTTACTTGTCTGACAAAAATCAATGACAGTCATCTGTTTAGTTCTTTCGGGGTGTTTACACCAACGATGTTTATTCTAGATGATAAATGTAAATAAATACCTGTTTACAAAGTACAAACAAACGCTTGAGTTTCTCCTTCATTATTCTAAAGAGGAATTTGCCCTACGAATGAGCAGTACCGTTTAATCAATTACAAGTGTAATTTGAGCTGTGTAATGAATTGATATTGCATAATTATCGTCTATATAAATATGCTGCCCGAGGCCAAACCTAAATTGAAATACGTAGCATAATGAGTTTTATGTCAATTGTATGACGTACAAACTCGGTACGGTATTTTGTTTGCTCTTATAATTTGTACATTACACAAATATCATAAGGTTCATTTTGATATGGTTTCAAGTATTCGCTTCCATTCCGTGCAGCAACGTAAATTAAACTTTATGCTTCACAGTAATGAATTAAATCGTCTGCGAAGAATAAGTACTTCGAGTCACTGTAGTATACTAATTTTCATAGCTTTATTGATTTTTCCATACAAACTCTCATCCCATATTAATTTCACCACCTTTAACTATTTTACCGCCGTGGACGCTTTAAAGCGTCTTACATTAACTTGGCTGACGCCAATGAGACTCCAAGCGTCAATAATAATTAATAAAATTTTCAATTGAAATAAATAAAAGCTTCTTTCCTTCTTTCTAATTATTAAGATGTTCCATGTGTTAATTGCACGGAAGAAAAAAACCAATGGAAGTGACTTAAGTCTCGATTACTATCAGAACGGATGTCGCCAAACCTCAAACATTCTTAATTTGATACAAAATCTTGATATTCATTGGTCGTGTTTCCAAATTTAAAAAGAAATAACAAATTCTGGATTGTAATGTAATTTAACCTCTACCCCGTTGGCATATTGTTCAAAGTTCAATACCATCATCGTTCAGCCATACGACGCCCACTGCTGGGCAATCATTATTCAGCCATATGAAGCCCTGTATATGACGAATACCATCAATACCTATTATTACAAGTAACGACGCTTTCATATTATATTGAAATTCATATATTGTATTGAGGTTCATAGTTACATTTTATGTTCAGTTATGTTGTCCTTTGACTTGAATAAGGTGGAAACCTCTTGCTTCGGGAATTTTGATAGGAACGAATCAACATAAAAATAGTGGAAGAAAAAGGAAATTAGAGAACAATTTAAAATTTTAAAAGTAAGTAGCCAGGAACCAGTAAAGAGGGCGATAAAAAGATGGAACAACGATGAAGGAGTTTAGCATCGTCATAAAGTAGCCTATGTCCTTCTCCGAGGTCCCATTTGTCTCTATACCAAACTTCATCAACATTGGTTCAGCGGTTTAGAAGTAAAAACGTAGACAGAGTTACTTCCGCATTTATAAAATTAATTTGGATAAAACGGAACTTCAAAACGAACTTACGAGTATATCGGCGAGTCGTGCCCCTGCTTGTACCAGATGACAAGTCCCATCTTGTCGTCAGGCAATGTCGGTGTGACGTCACAGGGTAGCTCCACACCACCCCCCGTTGGCGCGTGAAGGGACTCAATCGAGGCTGTAACGAAAAGAAATATTTATAAATATTACTGCCAAAAACACAAAACAAGGACAAACCGCCCGTTCTTGAGAACTAAAAATAATTATAAGGATAAGTGGACTTTTTGTTAGAATCGGGTTGCGAAGTGATAATAAATTATCACTGAAAATAAGTTTAATAATTATCACTGATAATAATTAGTTTGATAATTATGACGATAATTATATTATATATAATCATGCAGATATTTATCAAATTCCTCGTCCCCACCCTTCCCGTGCGTCAGTCCGCGCATCTTTCGTCTAACCCGACTCGGAGCGAACGAGTTGTATAATTTTATTTATAACGTAATTACGTCACCACACTACAAACGCACACAGTAGGTATATTTATATATATATATATATATATATAT